AACATTCCACAAGAAAATTTTGGTATAAAGTCACATCTTTGACTTACTCTTGTAATACAAACACTACAGCCTGGACAGACACAGATGTATTTGCCACGGAGGCATGCCAATATATAAAACATTTATAATCCTATCTGCTGTATGTGACTATACATTACAAAGAATAATTGTTAGCTATGATTTTGCTGCTGCCAATTTAAAAATGATTATTAACTACAAAGGAGCCAAGGAATGCTGAGATAGGACAGCTCACTAAGCTTTCTTTAACACCATAATGTTCTCAACTCTGAAGCTGTACATGGACAGATTTTCTGTATGTACATGGTATGATGATCATATACCGTGCCAGTAAAAGACCGCAGTATAATGCCAACTATTACTTTGTTTATTTTCTTTGAGGATTGTTTGGTTTCAGAGCTAGTGTGTAATATGTTACACGAACAAAAATAAAACTTCAGCACTTTAAAAAAAATGCAAAACAGGCCTTAGGAAATCAAAACAACAGCACACAGATCTCCCCTACTATCAATACAGTATGTGTTTCATAATTAGCTGAGGCATTTTATTTAAAAAATCATTTATGAAAAAGTACCTCCCCACTCTCAAATAAAGAGAGAGAAAGGGAAATATTTAATAATTAATGAATTATTACAAATACAAAAATGTTTAAAACAGCAGATAAAGAATTTACAAGTTTCTAAAAATTATGAAATATAATGCATATGGTACTAATACAGATTGTATAAAATGATAACATTTTCACCCCAGCAGCTCATTTTGCCAAGGTTCATTTTTAGATGACTGATTTTTATGAACTCAAATATTGCTACAGAATGTGGTTTTGTATCAAAATTGAATATTACTATAGAATCAGATACAGTTTCTCCTTTATGTTTCTTTAAGAGGTAGCTGTGTTACTTTGTTATCAGGCAAAAACAAAACAAAAATGAAAAATAGAGAAGACATAAACATTGTTGTACCTTAAAGACTAACTGCTGTATTTTAATGTGAGGTTTAAGGGACAAGTCCACTTCCTCAGACATAAGAGTGGGACTGCATCGAAAATATTTATACATGTATACATGGCCCCCAAACAGATACTGTATTTGGACACAAGTTGTTGACTTGGCAATGATCCCTGGTGATATGTAGTTTCCTTCCCAGGAAGCATTCTGTAAATAATGACAATGATTGGTGGTTGAATTAATCCCAGGTTATAGATAACAAGCAGGAACAACATGGTAATGAGTATCTCTAATTATCAATGAGGCTTGTGAGGTGGCCCTAGTTAGTTAGTAAGCAAATATAAATACAACTGCTTCTAAATTAACTGAGCAGCAAATAGCTTGTTCCAGTGCTCAGGTTTGTGATGGAAAAGCCCTCCTTAAGTACAGTGGTGCCTCGCACAGCGAGGTTAATCCGTTCCGGGGCAAGGAAACCAATTGGAACGCATTAAACAGTGTTTAATGCGTTCCAATTGGGCTGAATACTCACCATTCAACGATGCTTCCGGGCGGCTGGCAGCCATATTCGCGCCCTCCCCTCGCTGAACGAGGGTGCGAAAATGGCTGCGATCAGCTGCCCAGTGGGTCCAAAAGGGCCGCCGGAGCAGCCAAAATGGCCGGCCGCAGCGTTTTCGCGCCCTTGGTAAGCGAGGGGACGGCGCGAAAATGCTGCGCGCAGCCATTTAGGCTGTTCCGGCAGCGTTTTCGCGCCCTCCCCTCGCTTACCAAGGGCGCGAAAACGCTGTGCGTGGCCATTTTGGGGTCGCGCGGTGGCCATTTTGGACCCGCCGACCAGCTGATCGGCAGGTCACAAAGCGAAGGTCGGTAAGCGAACCGCTTACCGACCTTCGCTCTGTGAATTGTGCCCTATCTAGGTGCCGTTTTGTGATCACTTTTGCGATCGCAAAAACGGCACCGTTGCGCGGATTCGTCACTCTACGGAGCGACCGTTCTGCGAGGCACCACTGTAGAAAGATTTATAAAAGCTCTTGATTCCCTAGCTAGGGCTCAAAAGATCTCACTTTCTGCAAGTGGAAAATCTATACAGGGTCCCAGAAAGAAGCTCCAGTGAACAGCCTGGTTGGAAAGACATAGGACAGGGGCCTCTTCCTACATATACAGTGAAGACCTAACAAACTACTGTATCTTCCTATGGTACGGTCCAAGCCATAGAGCCAGTGATGTGCACAGAAACTGTAACTATTCTGATAGGGTTGACTGCATAGATTTTCCCCGCCTAACTGTAATAGCCTGTCAGAAATTTTTAAACCATTGCCATATTTTACATTATTCTACAGAACTATGAAACTACTAATTTTTCATAGTTTTGTATCTTTATATTTAAATAGGGTTTATGATCATTTATTGTAAATTTTCCATACAATTTTATAGTATAGGGCAGCACACAAATAAAATAAAAGCATCACTGCAATCCATATTGTGAGACTCACAACCTTTAAAATGGACAGGAATGGGCGAATTCAGCTCAGATGATTATCATATCTACTATTGTGGGCAAGAATCCCGTAGAAGGAATGGAGTAGCCTTCATAGTCAACAAAAGAGTGGGAAAAGCTGTAATGGGATACAATCTCAAAAATGATAGAATGATGTCTATACGAATCCAAGGCAGACCATTCAACATCACAATAATCCAAGTTTATGCACCAACCAGCATTGCTGAGGAGACTGAAATTGAACAATTCTATGAAGATTTACAACACCTTCTAGAACTGACACCAAAGAAAGATTTTCTTCTCATTCCAGGGTAATGGAATGCTAAAGTAGGGAGCCAAGAGATAAAAGATATAACAGGGAAGTTTGGCCTTGGAGTTCAGAATGAAGCAGGGCAAAGGCTAATAGAGTTTTGTCAAGAGAACAAGCTGGTCATCACAAACACTCTTTTCCAACAACACAAGAGGCGACTCTATACATGGAAATCACCAGATGGGCAATATCGAAATCAGATTGATTATATTCTCTGCAGCCAAAGATGGAGAAGCTCTATACAGTCAGCAAAAACAAGATCTGGAGCTGATTGTGGCTCTGATCATCAGCTTCTCATAGCAAAATTCAAGCTTAAACTGAAGAGAGTAGGAAAAACCACTAGGCTCCTCAGGTATAATCTAAACCAAATCCCTTATGAATACACAGTGGAAGTAAAGAACAGATTTAAGGAACTAGATTTGGTGGACAGAGTGCCTGAAGAACTTTGGATAGAGGCGCGTAACATTGTCCAGGAGGCAGCAACAAAAACCATCCCAAAGAAAAGGAAATGCAAGAAAGCAAAGTGGCTGTCCAACGAAGCCTTAGAAATAGCAGAGAGGAGAAGGGAAGCAAAATGCAAGGGAGATAGGGAAAGTTACAGAAAACTGAATGCAGACTTCCAAAGAATAG